TTTAGTACCGTACATTTAGTTCTGGAACTAAAAATGACAGTGAAAACATTACCTCACATTAAACAAATCAAACTTGGCTTCATGTCATGGTACTATCTCAAATACAGGAAAGGAGAGGTAAATGTCATACAGCACTACACATGATCTCACATACATGCACACTTTTGATAACTGCGTAATGAGTAAATCTTTTACTTCAACTATTGATAAATGAAGTCAAAATATTGCATACACATCACACCAAAAAGGCCCCAGTTATCAGTTGCTGCTGTGTTCACGGGCTGCACTGGGGTTTCTGGGATATTGAAGGACTGTTTGTAATTCTCGTGCCTTGTCCTAAAGGCTCCCAACAGCCCTACCACCAACATGGCTGGAAATTATTGGCTAAAGGGTTAAAGAGGGCAAAAGAGGCTTGTTTGTCTTTCTGTTTTTTACTTTGAACTATTTCCTTTTTTGTATTGCTGGGGGTGGAGGGTTTTCATTTCTTGGTCTCTCAAAGCCTCTCTCTTTAACCCTGTTAGCCTGAAGGTAAGAGATGTAGTGTGTCATATTAGACGAGGGCCTGTTACATGTTTGTAGTGTCAGACTTTTACGCAGTTTTTGATGCTTGGTTGAGTGTGGCAGTGTTGTGTTAATGCAGGAGTCCGGATTAAAGGTGAACCAGCCGGCCTCTTTTGCTGTGAGCCTAAATGGGGCGAAGGGAGTCATCGATGCCAAAGTTCACAGCCCATCCGGAGCACTTGAAGAGTGCTGTGTTACAGAGATCGATGAAGGTAATGATGGGTTAAAGGTTTGACTGTGTTTTGCATTGTATGCTTGCACTTCAAAATGAAACCTATTGAGGCATTTACATATTTTTTGGAAATGAAGCATCCAGAAGAAAGATTAACGGCTTCAAAAAGGACTTAAATGTTGTTACTTGTATTACCATCTGCTTTCCTCTTGCCGCCTTTCCTCACAGATAAGTATGCTGTGAGATTCATCCCCAGGGAGAATGGCCTGTACCTGATAGATGTGAAATTCAATGGTTCTCACATCCCTGGAAGCCCCTTCAAGATCCGTGTTGGTGAAACTGGCCAGGCTGGAGACCCAGGAATGGTGTCTGCTTATGGAGCTGGTCTGGAAGGAGGCACCACTGGTACAATGCACTTTAGATATCATGTATAGTGTAATCTTTTATAGTTGTCAAAGTGTGCAGCTGAACTAAACTGACCGTACACCACCACCTTCTCAGGATCTCCATGTGAGTTCATTGTGAACACAAGTTCAGCTGGCCCAGGAGCTTTGGCAGTGACCATCGATGGGCCTTCCAAGGTGAAGATGGACTGTCAGGAATGCCCAGAGGGCTACAAGGTCACCTACACACCTATGGCACCTGGAAACTACCTAATTTCTATCAAATACGGTGGACCATACCATATTGTTGGCAGCCCATTCAAAGCTAAAATTACAGGTATGGGGGGGAAAAAAAGCTTTAGGTTCAGTTACATACCATGGTTTATCTTGGTATATTGAAAAAAATTTATGAATTATAACTACTAGAACTTGTTGTTTTTGTCCAATTCAATGTTTTATCATGGTGTCTAGTTTGTGGTGGACAGAAACTGTTATCGTGTGTAATGTCAAATGTGTCTTTTGCAGGCTCCCGATTGGTCAATAGCCACAGCATGCACGAGACTTCATCCGTACTAGTTGACCCTGTGACCCGCAGTGTGACGACCAGCCAGCAGGCAGCGCCGGGCTGGGGCAGCTCCGACGCCAGCCGTGTAGTTGCCAAGGGTCTTGGACTCAACAAGGGCTTCATAGGACAGAAGAACACTTTCAGTGTGGACTGTAGTAAAGCAGGTATGAATTATCTAGAAATTGATTACTTTGAAACTGAACAATTGGCCATTCAGTCCTGTTTCCTGTTAATTGCGAGCATTTGACACTATATTTCCATCAATCTCCACAGGGAGGAACATGCTCCTGGTTGGAGTGGACGGACCCAAAGTGCCCTGCGAGGAGATCTTGGTGAAACACTTGGGTAACCGTCTGTATAATGTGTCCTACCAGCTGAAGGAGAAAGGAGAGTACATCCTGGTGGTGAAATGGGGCGACGAGCACATCCCCGGGAGCCCGTATCACATCACTGTCTAACTGCCCTCCACCAAAACCTCCAGCATCAAATACAGGAACACTGAAAACTCTCTTGTCCTTCTTCCTTTGTATGATCCTCTCATCCTGTATCTTCCTGCACCACTATTCAGCTTTCAAGCAAGAGAGGGATTTCAAAGAAGCATTTTGTCACTGTATGCCAGTCATTTTTGGATCCTGTTACATTTGCTGCGTTCAGTAATCCTTTAAATCAGAGGGTCCTGGTGGCTTTTGCTCCGTGTTTGGTTTGTTGCTGATCTAGTCTCTAACACAGAGTAGCTGCTAGTATGTTTTGCCTGGTTTAGGAGACTGATGTTCCAGTCATAACTGTACAGAGTAACCATTGCTAGTAGCGGGAGAAATACAGATGTGATTCAGCCGCTTGTTTAACACAAATTTTTCATTATACTTACCATTGGGTGAAGAGGCACTTAAACATAGACTGTCACGTAGACTGAATTAACACTGGTGCCGAAGCTCTGTGGGTCTGACCTTCTGTCTTGAGCGTTTTGAATATTTTTCAGTCTGCAGAGCTGCATGTTGCTTCCGTTTGACCATGAAGACATTTTTGAAAATGTCATTTGGGTGCCATTTAAAACCAGGATTGTGTGCCAAGTGATTTAGCAATCAAAGGGAAGTTACATGGCAGAATAAAGATGAGGCTGAAGGTGTAACAAAAGGGAGATTTTTGATGCATACTGCTTGAGTTTATTGTTGGTTATGTAAAACACACTTGGAAGTTGTAACAACTGGCAAAACGTCACTTATTTGCGCTCACTTTGTTAGCTCTTTAGCCCTTTGTGCTCCAATGTCAATGTATAATCAGTATTCCAGAATTTAAAAAAATTAATTAGTTGTCTAAAAAAAAAATTAAAGTTGACATTTTGACAAAGTATTTTGATACACAATAAAGATGTCTTAACTATTTTTCTGTCAACCAACGTGTAACTGTTTTCATTTTCTTGTGTATCTGTGATTTTGAACTCTTTTTGGAGTTTATCCATTTTTCATGAATGTGTTTTCATGGTTAAATTTGAATATGGGTTATGCATTTAAGGGAACTGTATATTGAAATTTAGTGATCGGATTCTGTAATGTGTGCAAAACGTCTGGAGACCTTTGAGCTAGTATTAAGCATATTTAAACCTCAAATATTGTAGAGTTTTGAAGGAAAATTGAGAACATTCAAGATTACCTTAGTCACCATGAAATCAAAATTGCCAGTTCTTTTATGAAATCTTTTGAATGATTTAGCCATGCAAATCTTTTTAGTTTTTTCCTTGTTCAAGAAGCCGTTTCACTCGGATACAAGCCACATTGGGAAGTAAAATTAATTACAACAACGGTTTCGGTCAATGTAAAAAAATAAACTAAATATACTACTAAAAGACACCTACACTGGCACAAAAAGTAAAACCACTACTGTAATTGCTTAGTTACTGATTTATCAAATCCGTTGTGGCTCCTGATGAAATCTTTTGAGTAATTCTAAATCAGGTTGACGCCCAAGGCTGGCATGCAGCAGAGTCAAGACAATCAAGATCCTGTCCATAAACAGCTGTACTCTGTCCATATAAGGTATTAAAAAAATTAATTAGTTGTCTAAAAAAAAAATTAAAGTTGACATTTTGACAAAGTATTTTGATACACAATAAAGATGTCTTAACTATTTTTCTGTCAACCAACGTGTAACTGTTTTCATTTTCTTGTGTATCTGTGATTTTGAACTCTTTTTGGAGTTTATCCATTTTTCATGAATGTTTTCATGGTTAAATTTGAATATGGGTTATGCATTTAAGGGAATTGTATATTGAAATTTAGTGATCGGATTCTGTAATGTGTGCAAAACGTCTGGAGACCTTTGAGCTAGTATTAAGCATATTTAAACCTCAAATATTGTAGAGTTTTGAAGGAAAATTGAGAACATTCAAGATTACCTTAGTCACCATGAAATCAAAATTGCCAGTTCTTTTATGAAATCTTTTAAATGATTTAGCCATGCAAATCTTTTTAGTTTTTTCCTTGTTCAAGAAGCCGTTTCACTCGGATACAAGCCACATTGGGAAGTAAAATTAATTACAACAACGGTTTCGGTCAATGTAAAAAAATAAACTAAATATACTACTAAAAGACACCTACACTGGCACAAAAAGTAAAACCACTACTGTAATTGCTTAGTTACTGATTTATCAAATCCGTTGTGGCTCCTGATGAAATCTTTTGAGTAATTCTAAATCAGGTTGACGCCCAAGGCTGGCATGCAGCAGAGTCAAGACAATCAAGATCCTGTCCATAAACAGCTGTACTCTGTCCATATAAGGTATGACAGGTCCAGTGTCAGAACTATGTTTTCCAGGGCCCTGGATCTGTTGGTTTGTGCAGGCCCCTGTTATAAATATGATTTGACTGGCTTTTTCCACACCAAAAGTAATTTACACCGGTATCACAGGTAGCTTCGGCGATTTAGTTAGTATAAAAGGAAAGAGCTTCGCGTGACAGTGAATCACGTTACAGCTGTCTGTCCATGACAACGCGAAAACAAACAGTTTGGGTTTTCTCCTACCTTTGAAAACGTCTGAAAAAAAAGTCCTCCATCAGTCGCCCCACAGCGGTAGAAAAGTGCACTGCACGTCGGGACTGTTCACCCCAAAATTATAGCCTTCATTTCTAATCACACTCGTGTCGTTCTGAGCCAGTATTTATTTCTTTTCCGTAAAATGTCGACTATTGTTTTATTTTATTTTTTTAATGAAATTGCAATGATTGGACTGAAGAGTTCAAGCTTCAAAAAGGACCCTAATTTATATTTATTTATAAAATAAATATTTTCCAAATAATACATGTTCTAGGATTCAGTACAGTTACATTTACTGTACCGTTCAAAAGTTTGGGGTGGGTACGTTTTTTTTAAAAACGTTTTTGAAAGAAGTTTCTTATTCTCATTATGGCTGCTTTTATTTGATCAAAATACTGTAAAAAATAATATTGTGAAATATTAATACAATTGTATTTTTTTTTAAATATTGTATTATATTTTTGTGCACTGCACGTCGGGACTGTTCACCCCAAAATTATAGCCTTCATTTCTAATCACACTCGTGTCGTTTTGAGCCAGTATTTATTTATTTTCCGTAAAATGTCGACTATTGTTTTATTTTATTTTTTTAATGAAATTGCAATGATTGGACTGAAGAGTTCAAGCTTCAAAAAGGACCCTAATTTATATTTATAAAATAAATATTTTCCAAATAATACATGTTCTAGGATTCAGTAGTTACATTTACAGTACCGTTCAAAAGTTTGGGGTGGGTACGTTTTTTTTAAAAACGTTTTTGAAAGAAGTTTCTTATTCTCATTATGGCTGCTTTTATTTGATCAAAATACTGTAAAAAATAATATTGTGAAATATTAATACAATTGTATTTTTTTTTAAATATTGTATTATATTTTAAAAGGTATTTAATTTAATCCTGTGATGGCCAAGTTGAATTTTCATCAGCCATTACACCAGTCTTCAGTGTCACGTGATGCTTCAGAAATCATTCTAATGATAGCCTGTATGATAATATATGATTCAAGTTTTATGATTTGGCATTCGGAAAAAAAAATATTATCAGTGTTGAAGTTCTGCCACTTAATATTTTTGTGGAAACTTTGATACGTATTTTTCACAATTCTTTGATGAATAGAAGAAAGAAAAAAAAAACTATGTATTTGAAATGGAAATCTTTTGTAACAATGTAAAAGTATTTTCTGTCAATTTTGATCAGCTGAATGGGGCCTTTGCTGCCTAAAAGAAAAACAAAATATTTGTATTATTATTTTTTTTACAACATATTTCTTGCTTTTCTTCAAATTGTATTTGGGTCTTTATACATTAAAACATATAGACAACAGTAAGCTATGTTGTTGTAAACGGCGCCGATTTCGCACAACATTTTGCTTTCAGTGAGTTAAATAAAATAAAAAAATGAATAAAAAATAATTGCAAAAAAAAAAAAAAGGCTCGACGCTTTGAACACTAGTCCCTGCGAGGCGAAGTGATGCGTCATGCGTGTCTCCTCCTCCAGCGCGAGCGCGACGCGACGCGACGCGACACGCCCAGCTCAGGAAAGCGCCTTTAACGTCCGGGGATCGTTTAAGGTAATTCAATTATGACCATTTTCTATTTTTAAACATAAATAATGTATATTTAGGCGACAAAATACTCGAAACTATTGCTATTGCATTACTATTGCTCACTCTTCTATCCTAACTAAGTCGTGCTAAATGCGCTGTTGAACTTGCTAACGTTAGCTCGATCTAAGAAATCCCTTTCTCTGACCGTTTGTTCGCCTGAAAACGCGTTTGTGGTCCTTTTCTCCCGAATGCCTTGACAGAAGATGCCATGTTCGCTTGATCTTTGCTTAGGACGTGTCTTTTGTCCAGAGTAGCTTTACCTCACAAAGTTTACAGCTGTTGCAGGCTGCACATGTGTGACATTCAGCCCCAGATGTTATAGCAGTCTGACACTGAAGTAACGTTACGTTTATTCGTGTGCAGTGCTGGTTGTTGCATCTCTCTATGAGAGATTGTTTTTGTTCTTTCAGACTCTCTTTAGAGATAAAATAATCTTGTTTTACGTTACGTTTCTCAGTCAACCAGTAGGCCTACTAGTTACCTACATGCTACAACATTATTATGAGTCATCAGTTTTAAATCTAAAACCTTCACATAAATCCTGTTGTTGCAGATATGTCCTCATTAAGTGGAAAGTCTGATAAAGAGATCAGTCAGCTGCTGGATGAATATGGCATTAAACATGGACCCATAGTAGGTATGTGATAACAAGCCTTTAGTCTTTTAGAGTAAGTTGTAACATGGTAGTCATAAAAAAATAATATAAATATAAAAAATGATGTAAGAAGGAAACATTTTTATTAAAAACTTTGCATTTTATTTTTTTATTCATTAAATGTAACACTAGCTCAGCAAAGCGTGTTAGAGCATGTTTTTTGTCAATGATTCTGTGGCAAGTTGTGCTGTGATTTGGTGGCGGTCTTGTTTTTGCAGAATCCACACGGAAGCTCTATGAAAAGAAACTGAATGAAGCAATGACCAAAAAAGCGAAGCCTTCCTCGTCTGATAAGACATACTACCGAGAAGAACGTAAGGCTTCTCCTTTGACATTCCCCATATTTAAGGTGTAGAATTACACTTGTAAAATTTGCTTTTGTTTTCATAGAGGAGGAAGTGGAATATATTAGCTATCATCAGCCCGTAAGTAAAAACTGAACTTAACTTGAAGGATAACTGCTCTATTACTATTATTATTAAGCCATTTTTCAAATTCGGCAGCCACAACTGAGTATATACGATGGATCTGGTGATGTGTAAGTAGCTTATTTCATTTTCTTGACCATGCTAAGGGGTTTCTGCAGGCCTTAAAAAGTCTTAATTTGCCCATCCACAATTTAAGGCATTAAAAAGGTCTTGAATCAGAGCAGAAAGTCTTAAATTCATAAAAGCATGGTATGAAATTTTGCATGCATTGCAAAAAAATAAATAATCAGGATAAATCAGGACACATCAAAGTCTTGAGAAACGGAACAAAATTAAGTGGGTTTATGCTTAAAGCAAGAAGAAATACAGTATCTGTCAAAAGGATATGAAAACTTTTTCCATATTCTGTTTTTGTAAAATGAATGGAAGTTGTATTTTCAAACTTTGAAGTTATACAACATTTTGACACGGAACATACACAGAAAATAAACCCGCAGAAACCCTGATGGTAAGCAGTAATCTGAAATCATAACATCTATCAAAACGTCTAGCTGAGTTCACAAATATACTTATATGCTTACAGTAATCGTATATGTGTGATCTCTCCCCAGCACAAGGAGGTCAAAGGTCACCGGTGCCGATTTTGCCCATGAGTGAGATTCATTGTTCCTTTTTCATCTCATTTTTTAGCTTACTTAGGTTTCCACCTAACTGATAACTGGATATATGGCATCTCTCCACAGCATACGGAGGTCAAAGCTGACTGATTACAGAGATGAAGACATAGGCTATAACAATGAGTGAGTTTTTGTTTGAACAAACAATATTAATATTGTTTTTCTTCTTATTTTCATCTTCTCCTAAAATATGTTACTACAATGTGTGTATAATACTGTAATGTAATAACCTCACTTGAAAACAGGGTTTCCGCAGGGTCTTAAAAAGTCTTAAATTGTACAAGAAAGTCTTAATTATGATTTCAATAGGTCTTAAATTTGGGGATGGAAAGACCAGAATTGCGATATGCCTGAATGTGACGATTAAACTTCAAAAGGCTATGATTTCATTAAATAAACATGAGCGCTGCACGTTCAAAGTCCAGTGCTGCACTGCTTTGTGTTCTGCCGTTACAGGTAAAAACAGTTATATTTCTACCAAACGCTCCACCTGCTGTCAGAATGAAGGAGCATTTTCAATAAAACTGATGTTTTGTTCAGAGTTCAGACCAATGCGAAAATCGACCCGTGTTTTTACCCTGCAAACACGCAGAGCTTTGAATGTGAACTGGTGGATCGATAAGAAGACAATGCATTATAAAAATCGAAACATAGGGGTGTGCGATATGTATGGTCTGCGATAATATCGTAATTGTTGTTTTAACAATGTGCGATTTGATATTATCGAGTATATCGCGAAAAGCAAACACAAAACACACCTACAGAGTTCACGCATACATTAGGTGATGAAGTCTAGTAGGTTAGACTAGTGTGCGTGTGCATTTAGAGTGCGTTTTTTCACTGCATGAATCAGTCTGTTAAAATGCATGTAGAATTATCACATAATTTAAGATATGGGGCAGAAAATGTATATCATTTCATATAGTCAATATCACACGAAGAGTGCCGTTTTTTTCTCCAAAAGTAAACATGATTACAAATGTGATAATTTATTTTATACAACAGTTCAATAAACAAGTAGTTAATATTAAGAGACTTACGTTTAAGACACCATATTTCCTGTTTTTGCTCTATTTCTCCAACAAAAATCATTTCAAACACAGCCACAGCACTGTTTTGCATCTCTGAGCAACAGGAAGCTGTTTCGTTCCTGAATGAATCACCCGTTTAAAAGATTCGGTTCAATCGCAATGACTCACTTATTAACAGTGACTTGCTGCCACCTACTGGCGGTCTTAATTTCACATTTAGGTACCTTTTCATTTTTTAAGTAATTTCAAACATCAGTTTTCAATGTTTTATGTTTAAAATATCAAAACATTATTCATGCATTTGTAACTGCAGGTTAAAGTATTTAATGTCCCTCTTACGTTGCTTGGTAACAAACCAAATGCAAGAACACTTTTAGAAAAAATGACTTAAAGGTAAAAATGCCCATAAAACTTTTTGGAAATTATTAATTTCTATTACTGCTGTGAACAGACCACACAGAATATGAGTCAGGGGTCAGCTGTCCACGGCAGTCCTTAAGATATCAGCACAATAACACACTCAGCAAAATATTGTCTAATTATCGTTATCAATAAAATCCCAGAATATTATCGAGATATCATTTTTTGTCAATATCGCTCACCCCTAATTTGTTATTTATTTGATATAATTTATTGATGATAATTGTTTAAATTAATATAATAATGCTTTTGACTCATCCATTTTCTTAACAATGGTTTAAAGGCTGAAATGTAAAGTTGATAATTTTATAAAACTTTTGTTTTTGTGAAAACTTGTATCTGAACTGTAAATTATGCTTTTTACAGTAATTTTACAGTTTAATATGGTACTACATTGCCCTACCCTGCTCATATGGTATTCATTTTATTTGTGCAGGTCTTAAAAAGTCTTAAATTTGAGCATAAAAATCCTGCAGAAACCCTGGAAAATAAATGAAATGTCCTTCCTATCTATTTTGAAGGCCCATTATCAGCCCAGCTCGCTCATCCTATCAGAGTTCTTCTCGGCCAGGCCCGTCAGTCTCCACATCCATGCAGCGTGGTCAGTCCAGTCCAGAGACCAGCAAATCTGGAGGTGTGCCGGGCTGGCTTTGTGTCTTGCTGTTTCTTATCATTGCTGTTTCTCTTTATTATGTGTACACGTGTATGGAGCCTGCAGAGGAGATCCCCCTTAAAAGCATTCAGTAGAGGAACAGTGAGATGTTTTAAATGTTCATTAGCCCCAAACTAAACTGATTCAGTACAAGAACAACCAAAAATATTGCCTGGAATAAGAGCAAGTAATATTCTGTTTGAGTACAGATTGTGAGGTTTAGTACCAGTTGTCGTACAACCATAAACTTGCGTAAAGTTTTAACCAAATACTTGCTTTGTGCATTTTTGTAATCAAACAGATACAGATGTGGAAGACTATCCACATGAAGAAAATTCAGATTTTTTTTTTTATCATTGGGGCATTCAAGTGTCTTTAAAACTTATTTTCTCATGAATTGTATGTAAAATCCTTTTGCTGTGGCCGTGTATTTAGGGCTGGTGTTTGTGACATTCTGTTACAATTTTCTGTTTTCAGTGTTAACCCCTTTTTTAAATAAATTCCAAGGTGCTGAATTGAAAACTGAAAAGACTTAAGCTTGTGTACACAAGCTTGTGCTAGTTTGTGAGTAATAGTTACAGCTAAAGGCTATTGTTAGGCACAATGCAACAACCCCTTCAGCCAAGACTAGATTCACAATATAATAAGCTTTAAGTGCCTTATTACTATTATGGAAAATGATTAAGGGTATAAATTGTATAATTTTTTTACTAAACAAATTTCATTCATTACTTTCATCTTGCTACTTGTCCCTGACATGTAAACACTACCAATATGCCTTTTTTATTTTATATATATATAGTCGCCAAAAGTATTATTTTTTTTTGACAACCTAAGCCACACATACAATGTGTGAATAGCATTGTTATAAGAATTACTAGATAACGCATGCAAAGACATGTTTAAACTAAAGCATTTCTCATTTTGCAAAGTGATTGAACATATAAAAAAAATGTCCAAACACTTCTTAAATTCCCAATGTTTACTTGAAAAACATGTACCATCTTTAAAAAAATGACACTTGATTTGAAATGTTGTCTAATAAAGTGACATCTGTGTAAGATTTTTTCCATGTATTTGTCAACTTTATTAAATACTTTGATATATATATAAATACAAAGACATGCATATATTAAATATATAATATAAATGTATATACATAAACAATTCACATACATATAGTATGTAAACAAAAACTTATTTTGGATGCGATTAATCGTTTGACAGCACTACTGGTAATATATTGTGAAGTCTTTATTTCTTATTTGAGGTCAATGAAGTGAATAAACAGTAACAAATTCAACTAAGGAAATTCAGAACATCAAATTTACTCAGATATGAGTGCTTTATCAAAGTGAAGGTATCCATAAAAACATCAAAAACCATACATGACTATCTGTATGGATCAAAATGATGGCAGAATTTTTTTTTTCGACAATTAGTCAATGGTAGCAACTCAGAGGTTTGGTAAAAGTATAAATAATAAATCTTGTGTGTAAATATATGTGAGCAGTCCTTAAATATTATTAAGAGGAACTGCAATATCAGATGCTGGTTCTGAAAAAGAAGAGATGTAAAGTAAAGTGCAGTACAGTATTAGAATTAATGTATTGTGAAGACTATAGTATAGATGTCCAGACAAAAATATTCACGATTTTAAATTCAATTTACAAATACATTACAACTTGACAAATTCCTGCAGATTCTGTAAAGTCTGAAAAAATAATGTCATTCGCTAACGAGACTCTGCTCACCCTCCAGACTCGAATCCCAATGCTGTTATGATGATGTTGATAAGAACAGTAAAGAACACAAACACAGTGGCCATATTATTCATCGTGTTAAGCCTCGGCTGTTTCTTAACATCATTCAGGTCATACTTCACTGAAGGGAGCAAGAGAAAACACAATTCTGCTCAAATCCAAGACATCACTCACGCATCGTGTGCTTCTCCCCTTTAGACCAGTACCGCTTGTCTGTCTGCAGCTGTTGCACTGTTTGTGTGAGAGACGACGAGGTTTCAGACAGCTGCTTAAGACCCTCGAGCTCCTGAAACGTAAATGAAGAATATGCAAAACATTTGTATTTGAATATGCAAAATATATACAAGGGCTGTCCAGAGAGTATCCAGCCATGTAATTCAAAACTCTCTTCATGCCTTTGCAAAAGTATTGCGTTTCCCCAAGAATCCTTTGGGTTCACTTGCAAAAGGTTAGCATTCTTTCGCAAAACTATTGCATTCCGCCAAGAAACTTTGCATTTGCTCCTATAAAAACATGCAAACTCTAAATGGATTACAGGTATTAATGTTCAGTTTCTTGCACAGACCAATGATTTTGCTTCATAAGACCTCAATATATTGTCAGGAGCCATATGTATTCAATTTTGTGTCCCCTGATTTTATTTTTTTTACTCTCAACGTGACTGTAGCCATTGACTTGTATTTCATGCATTACAAATGGTTTCAGCTACAAAAAAAAATCTTTACTGTTCTACTAAATGAAAAAAGTCAATTAACAGCAAATTTTCATTTCTGGGTGAACAATCGCTTTAAGTTACTGCAGATAAATGATGTAGGATGCTTTACCGCATTACAGGTGTGCAGGAGCTGATGTACAGACTGAAACACAATAGCGCCAGAACTGAGGGCCGGAGGGGCTCTTTGGCAGTACGCCTTAAAGTCTGTGTTGTAGATGTGTCCGAAAGCCGTCATGAGCTGAGACATGTCTGAGATGGCCACTTTCAGCGCACAGGGGGACAGAACAGCTGCCGAACCTGACGAATGTGAGTGAAGGAATTCACACTGAGGAACAGAGAGGATCATGCTATTATTATGGAAACCAAACACATCATATCAGATGTGAAAAATGCACATGATGGTCCCACCTCTTTGTGGAGCTCGACTAATGTGCTCTGCGTAGACTGCAGCAGCGCCATGGCCTCTGTCAGGCTTTCTTCTCCATGACTTCCTAGTCGGGAATGTTGATCACCCCTTCGATGGCAGTACATAAAAACCGTGTTAAAGAAAACAGCTGAAAACGTACATGGGTGCATAACAATCATACAGACCTGTTTATGAAATCACTGGGTTTACTGTGTTGTTTTCCATTCATTTTGTTGTGAGTTGACTGTGTGCGTATTAGATGTTCACGGATATGCGCAGGCCACGGGTTGCAGACTGGATTCAGGAGCATATCCAGGTCTGATAAGTGATCCTGAAACATTAGTTCCCCAAGAAGATCATCGTTCCTCACACCGTCATCACCAGAGGATGAGTTCTGCCTACATCCATCAAAACAAACAGCACAGAAACAAGACCACATTCAATTATTGCTGGGGCATAAGAGGGCAGGGCTAAAGGTTGATGTTAAATCAATGGTACAAAAAGCTGCAGAAGTCAGATACCTAGAGTTTATGGAGGAGTCCGCTTGAATGACCATCAGTAGCTGCTCCAGAAACCTCAGCTGCTGTAATGGTGGTGCAAAACCCTGAAAATATAACAGACACAACAGGACACATTAGTTCATTCTGTTTTAGATAATACATTTAAAACGATTAAATAAGAATAGTTGTTCTTAACCAGGTATCAATCTGTCCCAAACATTTTTGCTTGTTCAATCATGTTAATGAAGTATTCAACAGTGTTGCTAAAGGTGCATGTGAAACTGAAAACATTTCAGAGTAATCTCTATTCTGCTCTATACATAAATTGCACTAGACAGTATAAAGATCAGCATTGTATAACTTCATACCTTGATTAAATCCTGGTCGTTAGCTTTACATAACATCATTTCATAACCAAACCGTGCGAGTTCTGTGTGCGAGAGAGAAAGCACAACAAAACAATAAGCATAAGAAAATAACAAAACAATTGGAAAGAGCAGACCGAGATTTTGCTGGCTCTTCTCTTTGTAAATGAATAAATATCAGAGTAACAGATATACTCATGCAAAACTGAAACAACTCACTTATTCTAACCTGTGCTTATTAAAATATATAAAAGAAAGAGTGATCATAATTTATTTTAATTAAATTACAATTAGCGATCCTTATATAGAGTCCTTTAATGTCATCTAATGATTCTTGTTCTAAATCTACCGGACAAGTTTTTAAACTATTATTACACTGAATGGCATGGTGGGTGTCATGGTAAAAATGTACGTAGTCATTATTCTATGCTCAGAAAAAAAGACTTTAACAAGACACATTCTAATGTAGGGGGGAAACTAAATTTAAAGCTTAAAATGTACATTTAAAACATATTGTTTTTATGCCTGAAAACCTCTTTTCGTCTTTGACCCATACAAAGGATTACCTTGAACTAAATCCTCATTCTGAGTTGCTTTAATTGTGGAAAACTTCTCCTTTAGGGATGGACAAATGCTTTGTAAAAACAAACACACAAACAAAGCAAGGCATTTTAGTACACAGATTTGCAAACTACACATTTGACATCATTCTAATCATGTTTGATGATCAATCAGGCATCAGACCTGGCGCAAATCCACTTGAGTAGATCAGTCCTGTGTAATGAAGGAGAGCAGAGGAGCTCCTGCACACTGTCCGGCTCCCGCAGGTACAGCCCATCCACCAGAGGACAGCCCAGACTCTGAGCAGTCAACACAACAGTTCATACAGCCCATCTAGTTATTGTGTTACTGACACTTTGCTCTGGTTTCTTGTATTTGTCAGCTCGCTAAACAGATACATATGCAGCAAACATTGAGCTTGACAGAAGAAACGATAACGTTAACTAAACCAGCAATTATATCAAGTACTGTATTTTTTCTATTACACAAATGGTGTCCTGAATTGTGGACAAAAGATAATATCTTAAAACTAGATGTTATTTTAATTAACAGTTACACACACACAGCTGTCTAGCTAGCAGCTCACAGACCCAACACAGCCAGTTTTGAATTCGCGAAACGTCATAAAATGATTGAGTGTGTCATTGTCTGTGCGTGGTGTGTCTGTGAAGATGTGTAAACTACCTGAAGGGTGTTGTAAACTCGCACAGACAGCAGCTGCCCTTTTGAATTGCCCGCCATGTTGTTATTCCCGCAGCTGAGCGGGTCCGAGCCGAGGCTGTGCGTCAGCGTCATTCTGCGCATGCGGCTACAGCGACCCCCGGCGGCCACAAGCATATTACAACGAAACACAATCCACAATAGGCTATACCAGGGGTGGCGAACTCCGGTCCTGGAGAGCCTCAGCCCTGCAGAGTTCAGCTCCAACCCTAATTAAAACTCACCTGCCTGTAGCTTTCTAGTAACCCTTCAGGCCTTGATTAGCTTGTTCAGGCGTGTTTGATTAGGGTTGAAGCAAAACGTTCGCCACCCCTGGGCTATACTATAATTATACAGGCCTAAGTAGGGTTATCATATTTACCTTGAGCATTATAATAATTGAGGATTTGAGCATTTTTGTTTGGTGACTCAGTTAAACAAATAGTGTGGGTTGTTCATTTCTTATATTTCAGGTATGGATGGGTGTATGTATGTGTATGCGTTCATATTTCTAAACATCCCCAAACTGTTTTTAATTCTTCGTTTTAGATCACATGCAAAGTGATTTATCATTACATCCCAAACATTTTTGCTGGTACAAATCAAATCTCTAATGTACGTATGGCATTTTCAGCAGTGTTGCTATAAAGATGCAATAACCAAGAGGGAAAAAATTAAAATCACAAACATTTGACTATATTCTCTATTGTGTCCCTTATGTAAAAAGGTGTCTAGTTTTTAAATGTCATTACATGATTATACTGTAGAAATACTTAACATGTGATGCATTTAATATTAAGTAATTATCCTACTTGTTAAAGTTCACATGCTTAAATACGTATAAGGTACATGTAGTATCAAATAATATCACATTTGAGTAATATTCCTACTGTCTCAGGGGGGGGAAATGGTAAAAAAGCTATCACTAGGGCAGTACCTTTTCAAAAGGTACACCTTTGCACCTGTAGCGAATCAGCTCATGAGTAAATATGAATAATTAATCATAACTAGTTATAATTAATTATAAATATTTAGATCCGCTGTAGATATTTACTTGACCTCTCAGGGTCAACTGTCTGTCAATTCTAAGAATGTTAATTTCCTGGTTAAGGGAAATAACTTTCTTACTGTACAACTCTACACAGAGCCTGTAGCATAAATCTGCATGATTAAGTGACTCCAGTTATGAGCAAACAATGAACAACGTCAAGTGTGATAAAAGTAAGACTTTATTAACTACATAAACACTTAAACTAGTCCAACATACTACATAAACACTGAAACTAGTCTGACATACACATACACACGCACACACACACGCATACAGTTGGTATAGGAAAGGGTTAAAGCTTAAGCAGTAAAGAAGAGAGAAATAAGGAATGAAGTTATGGAATCATTTGCATATTCAGCAGATTTACAGCCTGAAGAGAACATCAGGTAATTTGCCTATGTACCAACATATAATATACATGCTCGTTTAGATCATCAGAAGGCGAATTCATAGATACTAAACATGGTAGGATTACATATAGGTAAGATGACAGGAACGAGTGGTTCCATCATAAGCCTGCATAAAACAGTATAAAATCTCAAAGACAACATACACAATGACCTGAAGGATATGTGTGTTCATTCAAAGAAAGGTTTTCCTATGGATTAATTAGAAGAGTCCATTTCTACTGTGCACTGTCTTTCCTATGGAAATTGTAGTGAGAAGGGTAATTCTCAACATGCCATTAGGTTGTAAATGTATCTGGTCTAGCAAAGGTGTCGTGGTTGCCTGGTGTCGTTGCAGACATCCTGGCACCCAGTATGTTTATTGGGTGAGGGGTCTGTGAATGTTTGTTAATCTAATGAATAATTGATTTGTTAAATCAAATGAAAAATGGTGTGTCTGATTGGTCCAGACGCTACACACCTGAAGGCTCCATTCTTGTACCTTAAAGGTATATATTAGTACCTGTAATGTACAGGTACCATCCCTGTAATAGCTTTTCTACCTTTTTCTGAGAGCATACATATGATTTTATTGCTAAGATGATGAAGAAATCTGCCGACAAATGCAATACAACATAGGTTTTTGAGTTATTGAGACCCCCAGACCGGAGGGTTAATAGCCTATAGGTGCATGATATGATAGTGCTCAAACATTTGTATCCAGAATATTGAGCTGAACATCAAAATAAGTCTTGAGGGTTAGTGCTATTTACTGAAACATATACATTCAAGTTCATACAAATATAAGTGTTGTATCATATGTGTAATCATAACTTTTTATTTCCCAAGAACATAATTCACAAAGATCCTCAATTTGTTCATATATTGTTTTTCTTATCTTACATTTCTTTTGAAGTGTTCGTGTAGCTTGTTCCTGTATAGTCAAGAGATGGATATATTTTAAACAGGGATTAAGGATAACAAGGGTGAGCCTGATTTCACCAAGTACAACATGTTCCTGGATCAACATCCTTGTTGATCCTGGAACAACATTCCAATCAACCAATCAGAATTAAGGGATAACTTTTCAGGAAATATCTGTTTTAGGCTTACAATCAGGGTTAGGTGCTTCTATACCCTTGTTAATCAGCTATCATTTCACACTGATTTTAGAAATATAAATTATGGGTAGGGTTAGGTTTAGGGGTAGGGATTGGCTTTAGTCTATATTTTTCGACAGTAATGTTGATCCAGGATCAACAAAAGATGTTGATCCAGGAACATGTCTTACTTGGCAAAATCACGACGACCATACAAAAGATGGGAATGAAAACATCCCCAAGGTATGACTGCAGTTGTGTGTCTGTCAGTCAGCATAGCAGTTTTGGGTGGTGATGAAGGGTGTTCTCCAGTTCTTTCAAATCTAACGTTACATTATGTAAGAGAAGCCAATATGTACACTCCCTAATATGCTATTTATAGTTACAAAACAGAACTGATTTAATTCCTCTTTTACATGCTAAATGCACTCTAACAGATGTTTATTACAATATTTTGTAAAACTGAATATAGGTTGGCTAATCGATTAACCTGTAAATAAAGTGATAAAAACGAATAATACAGAATATAAACCATTTTAAGATCACCTATAGTTATCCCTTTAAGATAAATAACACAGCACATCTCCATTTTTATCCTTTTAGCATTAAAACAGTTAAGTGTTTTGAAATTGAACTTTTTCCGTTTGTTTAATAAAAAGCATCAAACATCAAGAAAAACGTTACCTCTACCGTTCCTGATTCATTGAGAGGTTGTTTCTCCTCCATAGAGACGGAATAGCTTTAAAGATTTTGCTTAGTTGGACTAGGTATTTAAAAGAAGCATTCGAGAAGCTCACGAATACAAAAACTGCGTGAGAAATGAATGATTTCTACACTAAAACATAAACAACCGATTGCACCTTCAGCTCTGCCCAATGTTTTCTGGTTGTAAGCGTATGAGGACTGATTCATCCTTTCACTAAAAAGAGTCGCTATGATTCGTTCAGGGACTCTTTCAGTAGTTCACATAGTTACGTCAGAAGGTGTGGTTCATCAGCATTCCTTTAATTACAGGTTTTTAAGTCAACACATGTTGTTAAAACCTAAGTCTTGTTTACACAGTGATTACTCACCTCATGTATTCTATTGACACAACAAAACATCTAGACATTTTTAAAACTCATCTACCAAGCCATTACCAAGTATAATAACATAAAACAATTTTATCTTTTGGAATGATCTTTTTATGTATTTATCAGCAATTTGACTTGAAACAAACTATGAATATAAATTGTGTACTCCCAGGATGTTTTGCTCCAGCCAAGCCAGGGATGCTCACTAATGCTCACTTACCTCATTCCATGACAATTCATCCAGAAACCCGGCACCATCCCAGCTCCAAATAGTAAATATTATATATTCTTATTAAGCAGAGCTCCATCATGGGAAGCAAGACAGTTACATTAACCTTGTCTCCCATTGGTATCATTTAATTCAGATAAATGGCATGTAAAAATGATAGTTAATCACTTCGCATGTAAGTCACATGTTCTCTTCCAGTCTAAGTGGGCAGTTCCTGGCCAGAGTAACCTGCAATGAGAACCAGAACAAACTATGTACAGAATACGAAGTTTGACAATATGTGATGCAAAAGTGTTGGACACCTTGTTGCCCATCCCAAAATGATAACCAGAATTACTTCATCTTTCCAAAAAAGATTTCCTTTAAGGGAAGAGCTGTTCTGGCAGTTTGTGAAGCAATGTCATCAGGCAGAAGAAATAATCACAGGCACACAATAAAACACAACCACAGACACTGGTCAAAGTTATTATTGTAGAATACTTTGATTTGATTTTTTATACAGACAAAAAGTGTTGACTTATTTTCCCATTAAATTCTTAGATTTCCATACAGTTTTGTCTACAGTATACAGCTGGGTTCTTTCATCATAGATAGATACTTTTTTCTCTTAAGTAACAGGCAGGTAATTATTAATATATTTAATAGTTTAAATTTTTTTTCTCTTTTTTTCTATTGTAGAGCAGTAAGTGTATGTTCAGGAGAATGTGCAACTGTTTTTTTCCATCAGCTAAAAGAGCACTGATGGAAAAAGACAATAATATTAATAATAATAGTAATCATAATAATGTACAAGCTGTTCAATTTGAATTCTTTACAAAAAAGCAAAAGGAGAAAGAAAGAATAAGAGACAATAGAGTAAAACAAAAAAAATGTGCTTAAATCGTAAATAAAAGATGCACATGTGCACATTTTGGCAAAATGTACAGTGATGGTGCAGTTGTACAATAATTGATAACTTTTATATTAAATATAGTATATTATTTACTCTTTTTCACATTACATTTTTTCACCTTACCTTGCATGATTTTTCTACAACAGAATGAAACAAAATGTAGGCAGACGATGGAGTTTTGGATGATCTGTTTTCTTTTTGTTTAAATATATATATGCGTATATATATTTGTCACTCTATCAGGAGTCTTGATAAAGTGGCTGTCTGTTGTGGTGGAGAGGAGGGATACCATACATATGCCACTGTAATAAATATCATCACTGTCTGGAGAGTTCAATGATTGGGGTATACGTCGTAGATATAGTTGTTAGATTGAAAAATTATTAAGAGACGAGCATAGCTTGAGGCCTATTTTGGTAGTTAAGCTTTGCTGAGGATAAGATAAGGTTAGGAAATGTTTATTTATTATGGTATAG